ATGTTCTATGTTCTATGTTCTACGTTCTATGAAAGCAGTGGACCCAGCATGAATCCCTGTGGCACACCGCTGGTCACAGGCCTCCAGTCTGAAAAGCAACCTTCTATCACAACCCTCTCTTCTGCTTTTGAGTCAGTTCTGTATCCAAATGGCTGATTCTCCCTATGTTACATGTAATCTAGCCCTGCTAACCAGTCTACAATGAGGAACCTTCTCAAATGCCTTACTGAAGTCCATATAGATCATGTCCACTGCTCTGCCCTCATCAATCCTCTTTGTCACTTCAAAAAAACTCAAGTTAGTGAGACACTATTTCCCACGCACAAAACCGTGTTGACGATTCCTAATTAGTCCTTGCCTTTCCAAATATGTGCAAGTTCTGTCCCTCAGGATTCCTTCCAACAGCTTTCCCACCACTGATGTCAGGCCCACCAATCTATAGTTCCCTGGCTTTTCCTTACCACCTTTCTTAAATAGTGGCACCACATTATCCAACTTCCAGTCTTCTGGCACCTCGCCTGTGGCTATCGATGACATGAATATCGCAGCAAGGGGCTCAGCAATCACTTCCGTAGCTTCCTACAGAGTTCTCGGGTACACCTGATCAGGTGCGGATTTATCCAACTTTGCGCATTTTAAGACATCCAGCACCACATTCCCTATCTTCCATATCCTTCTCCACAGTAAACACAGATGCAAAATACTTGCTTAATATCTCACCCATCTTCCTATTGTTCCACACACAGGCAGCCTTCTCTTTCTGTTCTTTTCTTCTAATTCTATCAGCATATCCATCTTTTCTTTCTCCCTTGTATTTATCCAGTTTTCCCTTTAAATATATCCATAATGTTTCACCTTAACCACTCCCATTGTAGAAAATTTGGCATTCTAAACACTTGTTTCTCCGGAATAAAAACCAAAAGAACTGCGGATGCTGTGAATCAGGAATAAAAACAAAGTTGCTGGAAAAGCTCAGCAGGTCTGGCAGCATCTGTGAAGGCAAAAACAGAGTTAACATTAACTCAGTTCTGAGGAAGTGTCACCGGACCTGAAACGTTAACTCTGTTTTTGCCTTCACAGATGCTATCAAACCTGCTGAGCTTTTCCAGCAACTTCATTTTTGCACTTGTTTCTCCTGAATTGCTCATTAAATTTGGTGGTGGCTATCTTACATTTGTGGACCCTAGTTTTCAAATCATTTACCCCAGATTTAAACTTTATAGTGTTTTAAAGTTTATAAGGAAGCTCAGACTGCATTAGGCTTTTAATCGCTCTAAACAATGCCAATGCAAATAAAACAACCTTCAACAAATTCCAGAGAGTACTTCCACACAGATATTGCATGATTTGGACTGTTTCAATGAGTAGATCCATGAGGAACGTTTACTGAGGCTGAATTGAGGAAATATTTTTGTAGTAAAATCTCATGATGAATTTTTGTTCCATGAAATTAATTTTCTTGCAAAGACACATTCACAATGATAAATTGTGATGCATCCTTTTGTTTCTCATGAATCTGAAGGCGAGGACGTAAAAAGTAATTTTGATAGGAGGAATCATATTTCTATGAAATACCAAAGACGAATATGCCCTAGGCATAAAACATCGGATTGGAATTTCACACTTCAGAGCACTAGCTCATTGTCTTAGCTCACATTGGAAGAATGTGAAGTTCAGGTTAGACTGCATTCCTTGAGGAACAAGCTGCAATGGGTGACAGCAGTCTTTCTCCTTAAGCTACGTGCTCCTGTAGTAATATAATTCTTCCTGTAACGTATCATTGTTCATCAGATGGGCCGATGGGGCTAGGAATGGCAGATGGAGTTTCATTTAGATAAATGTGAGGTGCTGCATGTTGGAAAGGCAAATCAGGGCAGGACTTATACACTTATTGGTAAGGTCCTGGGGAGTGTTGCTGAACAAAGAGACCTTGGGAGTACAGGTTCATAGGTCCTTGAAAGTGGAGTCCGAGGTAGATAGGATAGTGAAGGCAGCATTTGGGATGTTTGCCTTTATTGATCAGTGCATTGAGTATACGATTTGGGAGGTCATGTTGCAGCTGTACAGGGCATTGGTTACGCCACTTTTAGAATACTGTGCGCAATTCTGGTCTCCCTGTTATAGGAAGGATGTTGTGAGACTCAAAAGCGTTCAGAAAAGATTTACAAGGATTTTGTCAGGGTTGGAGGATTTGATCTATAGGGAGAGGTTGAATAGGCTGGGCCTATTTTCCCTTGAGTGTCAGAGGCTGAGGGATGATGTTATAGAGGTTTATAAAATCATGAGGGTTAGGGATAGGTAAATAGACAAGATCTTTTCCCCAGGATGGGTGAGTCCAAAACTAGGGGACATCAGTTTAAGGTGAGAGTAGAAAGATTCAAAAGGGATGTAAGAAGCAACCTTTTCACATAGAGGGTGGTGAATGTATGCAATGAGTTGCCAGAAGAAGTGGTGGAGGCTGATACAATTACAACATTTAAAAGGCATCTGGATGGGTACATGAATAGAAAGGGTTGAGAGATATGGGCCAAATTCTGGCAAATGGGACTAGATTAATTTAGGATATCTGGTTGGCATGGGCGAGTTGGATTGAAGGGTCTGCTTCCATGCTGTACAGTTCTATGACTCTAGGTTCACGCAAGAACATAAATGAGTTTACAGACCAGTGTGATGTTATGGTCTGTTTCTGTGTTGGAATATCTGCAATTGTATGCAGGAAATCAGAAATATAGAAAACAAAAAAAAAGTACAGTAAAGTGAAAGAAAAAGCCTCATTAACAATTTACCTCACTACTTCATAGATACTGACTAAACTGCTGTATATGTTCTTCAGTTTGGATTTTTCAAATATTATATTCTGAAGGTGAAGAATATGAGGTCCCACTGGCATGAAATCTAACCTTTTCTCTGGTTGGTATCCATTTTCTCCACTTTCTGCTCCTCTACAGATTTTCCATCAATCTGGACAAACTTGAAAGGTTTGCCAGAAGCTATCATCAGGCCTGTGCCATCCTGCTCTACAGCTGCATAGTGTGGAGCTAGTTTTCCATGTAGAGTTCGGTGCCTTGAAACTTCATACTTGTTGCCCTCTGCAAGTAAAACAAAGAATAAAGGCACATAATACACAAGAAGAAAGAATAACACTCCCTGTTTTTTTACAGGACACAACTGAGAAAATCCATTGTCCACTGAACTTGCAGAAATTTTCTCACCTCCCCTCCTGCATGCAATAATTTAGGAAGGTGTTTCTACAAGCATCTTCTGGACCCTTGCTGAAGGGGCCATTCTTCAATTATGATCCCAGCAGATTCAGGCACTTCAGTCAACTTCAATCTTACCCTCATTTCAACTTCAACTGTGTTCAGAAATTACGTTACTTCAATCAGAAAAGGAACCCTTACTTTGTTTCTTTCCCTATCCCACCCCAGGACACAGAAACCAAGTGTGGCTAATCAATGCCCTGTCTTAGGCCAGCTTTACTGCCACAAACAAGGAACTTCCTACAAAAGCAAAAATATTAAGAATGCTGGAAAACAGAAATAGAAGCAGAAAATGTTGGAGAAGCTCAACAGTTCTGCCAGCATCTGTGGAAAGAAAAACAAAAAAGAGTTAATGTGTCAAGTCCAAAGTCCCTTCTGCGAAAAAGAACTTCATTTCAGCCGTTAGACCACTTAGGTCACTTACGAGCTCAGCATTTGGGGCATTTTGCTCAAAATGCTTTTGACCATTTCAGTGGAGAATTCATCTCTCCATGTGTCCCTCATTTCAAGGCTACTCAATTAAATCACAGAAGCATCTGTCATCGAGATTTAATAAAATTGGCAGCAAGACTTAGTTGAAACAAGCAGGTGCTCAATATATTTATTTCAGAGGAGATAGAACACACAAAGATCCAAAGCACATAGCCAAACAATGATACTGCATACAGCAAAATGAGCAGCATCATTCACAGAAGGATACAAACTTTGGCAACTTCCTCACTTGCCCACACAGTATTTTTTCCTTCCTCTCCTAATGCAATGTTCATACCCAAATCCACCACATAACACAGCCAAACACCATCCTTACATGCACCAACCTGCTGCTGTAAACCTCT